GACAGGGTCTGGATTCCAGCAAGAGCCCAGGAAGGCGGCGGGAGCAAGCGCCCCAGCCACGTGGAGGTGTGACCAAGTGTCCCCCCGTCAGCCTCCCATGCTTCGTTCCCAGTCTCCGCGGAACTTAAACAGTCCCGTCCCTTGGCTCCCTCCGTCTGCCGTTACAGCACGCAGCTTTGACAAGAGGCAGGATGACTGATTTGCTCATTGATACAACTCACAGTGGTGTGTGCCTGGGACATTAATATTCATTTCCTCCAGCTGAGGCCACTCTTGAGAAGGGGGGACGTTGGGTATCAAAACTTTGGAAGCACAACGCATGGTGTCACCTGCTACCACAAGGAACAGGCAGCACTCCCCCTCACCCCTGCTGGCCCCCAGTAACTCCCGGCTAGGCTCTCTTAGGGCTGAGTCAGGCTAGGCAGATGCTAAGTCCACATTCCTCCCTACCCATGAAGACCAAGCAAGTCCCCCTTCCCTCCCACACCCACAAGCCTCTGGGGACCTAGAGCTCCAGAGCTGGGTGCATTTCCCAATTCCTGGCTCCACCCGACCCTCCAGTCCCTTCTGGTCAGTGTCCCCAACAGCCCTGCAGATTGGCCCCTCCTCCTCAGTGCACCTGGGCCCTCCCCTCCCTCTGCCCCGCCTACCGAGCTGGTGGGTTGTGAAGTATACCCATGCTCCACAGCCTTCAAGATGCCTCCCTCACTTGCCAGTCTCCCTCTCCACTCTGGTTCTCGAAGTTGGCTGGACAGGAGAACCACGTGGGAAGCTCTTGAAGAATACCAGGGTCCAGGTTCCACTCCTGACCCGTTAATGCAGAATCTTGGAGGGGTCAGGCACGAGTAGTTTCGGAACTATGTACACGACTCCCCTGCACGGCCAGGGCTGAGGCTCGCCACGGGAAAGGGATCTTCTCCCACCAGAATGCGCTTATGCAGCATCTGAAGATCTTGTTAAAGAGCCGATTCTGACTCAGTACTTCTGGGAAAGGGCCCAAGATCCTGCCCTGCTAACCAGCTCCCGTGGGGATGCAGTCACGGCTGGTGCACGGACCACACTGTCCTTTATGCATCTCCCTTTAAACTCGGGAAGGGACTTCTGGAAGCGTCAGCCAGAAGGCTCTTCCAGAAGGAAAGAGGAATTTTCTAACGTGGGGATAGGAGCTCCCATTCCTAATTACAGAAGTCCACCCTCTAGTATAAAGTGTCTCCTGGAATTAAAACAAAACCTTTAGGGGCACCCGGCCAGCTCAGTCGGTAGAGCACGTGAGTCTTGATCTCTGTGTTCTAAGTCCGAGCCCCACGCTGGATGTAAAGATTACTTAAAAATGAAATATTTAAAATAAGTGAAACAAAATAAAAAAGAAAGTGTTTAACAGAGGACCCAGCGTATAGTAGATGCCCAGTAAATGGCACTTTTGCTACTCACGTTCTCACCGTATTAAGGCGGGACTTACGTCATTTCCCAAACCTAACTAGCCATGTGCTTTGGGCTCTCAAAACCCAGATGGAGCGCTACAAAGCCCGACAAACCACTTTCATTCTCAGAAGATGCACCGTGGGCTGGGGCTAAGCACAGGAAGGCCTGGGGCCGAGCACAGGAAGGCCTGGGTCCCGGGCTTTCATCTGGGACACACCCCCACAGACCCTGCCTGGTCTAAGGATATCAATGCCTTTGCTTCTCCGCAACCCCCACCCTTCTTTTTCTTCTTCTTCTTTTTTACTAATTTGCCACGAGCCGTGGATACATTTCTGCAACCCAGTCACAGCTCACAGGGAGTGTGTGTTCCAGGTCAGGAACGGTTTTAAGTCTTCTAGTTGGTTTAACTCATTATATCCATAAAACAACTCGTGGCAGAAGGTCTTACTGGCCTCAAGGGCAGACAAGGACAGACTGAGCAGCCTGCCAAGGTCACATACGGAGTTGGTCCTGGGGCCAGAACACAGACAGGAGGATGTGCTCCCAAGCCCAGGCTCTTCCAGTGCTTCTCTAACTTCCCCTGCTAAGTGATTTCGCTAAAATGCATGTTCTCAAGGCACCTGGGTGGCTTGGTCGGTGAAGCATCTGCCTTTAGCTCTGGTCACGATCTTGGGGTCCTGGGATCGAGTCCCGAGTCAGGATCCCTGCTCAGTGAGGAGCCTCCTTCTCCCTCTCCCTCTCCCTCGGTGCCCTCCCTCTCTCTCTCAAATAAATACATAAAATCTTTTTTCTAAATAATGCCAGGTTCTCCTTCAGCAGGTGAGCTGGAGCCTGAGACACGGCCTCCCTCACGAACCCCCCCAGGAATGCTGATGCAAACGGTCCACGGACCCCACTTTGAGTAACAGAACGACTCATACCATGACACCTCCCAGTATTTCTACCACTGCACCCCTCTGACCAGTGGCTTGCTGACTCAAGCAGTGACAAAAATCACAGTTGATCTCCCCTTTGGACACTTCGGAAAAGTTCTGTTTAAACTTCCGCCCCAACTCCAACATTTTGGGACAAAGGAGATCAGCAGGAACGTGGAAAAGCCGCTGAGCCCATGAGAGCCCGTAGATGTTTGAAGGTTATGAGATTGCTTTTAGATTTGTCACTGCTGCTGAGAGCGCTGTCTGGAAACCATGCCCGTCTCGAAAGGCAGATGGAAGAGTTTCCGGTGGAGAAATACAGGGTGGGATTTCTCCGAACGGGCACAGAAGTGAATCACGGAACTGTAAGCTTTTCTTCGCGGATTACCGGGAGAGGATATGTGCCCAGACCAGAAGACATGACAAATCTTCCTGCCCAGAAATGCATTTAAGACCCAATCGGGAGTGTCCGCTTAATCGGCCTGGATTCGGCGTCTGGGAACAAGCAGGCTGGTGAACCAGACAGAGGAAATCAGAGCAGAGCGGAATCGGGGTAAACTCCCAGGGGTGCACTGGACACTGGGGTGACCTGAAGTTCCAAGATCGCAGACAAGTTCCCAGAGAAGCCTGACTTCAGACCGCGAGTCTTTAGGAAAACAAAACTATCCTCCTCAACCGTAGTTTTTGTAATACCAAGGTTGGATTAAACAGCGATCAACAAAAATAAGGATTAGTGAGAATGGTACCTTTCTGCTCTTTTCCACCGCCCAACAATTCCCAAACTTTACTCCACAACAGAATCAGCTGGGAAGATTTCAGCACCCACCTTCCCACCCCGTGCTCGGGCCATAGTCCCACACCCGTGAAACCACACTCTCTCTCAGGGGGTGGGACCCAGGTAGCCCTCGTTTTTAAAGCTCCTGGGGTGAATCCAAGTTTGAGAACCACTGGCATAGCCTTTCAGTGTCTTTACTCATAAAATGAGGAATCCACCTGGACCAATGGTTCTTTACCCTGTCTGAGCGTTAGAGTCACCTTGGGAAGATTTTCACGAACAATGACGCCAGGCGTGTCCCTGGAAAATTCAGGTTCATGTGTAGGACCTAGGCATCAGCATTTTTAAGAGCTCCCAGGTGATCCTGATGGGCAGCTAGATAAAGGACCACCGGTCTGGGTGGTTCTTGCCAAGCTTCCCACCACTGCTTACATCTTCAGCATCTATGATAGTAAGGCTAAAAGTGCATTACAGACTTTTTGCAAAGGTCAATCTCTCACCTTTACATTTCAATCAGGGACTTCTAACTTTGGAAGGGACCGTGAATCCCCTTAAATCGTATTAAAAATGTTGGATGAATACATGTATTTATACACAGGTGGATATTTTTGAAGACGAGTGTCCTTCCCTTCTATCAGATCCTCAAAAGGTTTCCATAGATTACCTGAAAGGCAAGTATGTGGTCTCTGATTTAATAAACTGAAGTTCAAGAATGAATGGAAAAGAAATCTGACCTTGGCAGCACGTTCACTACACTTCTGAATTTGGGACGCACTTCCTAGCACCAAGCGACGCGCGCCCTTCCTGCAGCTAAAGTTCAGACCCTATAGCCCCTCCTCCGAAAGGCGTTACGGGGTGGATGTCAAGCTTTCAGGTCCAAGAAGCAAAGTGAAAGTTGCACCAGGGGCAGGGGTCAATACTACGTTATCTGGTTACGCTCACGGTGGGAAATGACTTGCCCAGCTGCACTTGGAAGGAAACTGTCCAGTCAGACCTGTTGGATTCGTGTCCCCAACTGGGTTAGGATCTTAGGATTTTCTAGTCCTGACTGTCGAAACCTCTATGTCTGGGTCTGGAGCCTGGCTTGCTCTCTCCCCACGCGTCCTTAGGAAAAACTGCTGAACCTTTCTGTTCCTCTTACGATAGCGGGACAATATAAGAACTTGGAAGACGGCTGCAAAGAAAAAGTAAGGAAATACACGTAGAATGCTCAGCATATCACTTGGCACAGAGCAGGATCCAAATAAACGGGAGTTCTGTTACTGCATCGCTGATGTTGTTATGACCATTAACATCTTAGTGATCTCGCCCAAGCCGCTGAATTTCACTGAGCTCCGTGTGTCCATCCATATGGCCTGCTTCACTGCTATCGTGATGACCACTAGAACACAGCAACTCGTCATATACCCAGGGTATCTACAGAGCACGGGACGACGTCCCCCTATAATACAGACACAATCCCTACTCTCAGGAAGCACGTTCTGAGATCCCAAGGGTTGGAACTGATCGCGGCAATTTCTCATTATGTGTCTGGCGTCCCGGGCGACCTAACCCACCCCGTCCCATGGGCAAGTGCGTGACCACACTTCCACCACGCCCGCCACAAGCCTCCTCTCCGGTAAGAGAGTACGCCAGCCACTGACTCAATCACGGCTGTCCCGAATCGTCCATTCTCCCCCCAGCCAGGACGCTCAATGGCACGGCCTCTCTGATGTCGGGCCCTCCACAGGAGACGGTTCCCAGGCTCATTCACGCGCCCCATCTTCTACAGCACCGTGGAGTGCCACCTGCCCCCCCCACCCCCACCAGAGCAAAACATCACCAACACCTCTACCAGAAGCCCCCTCTCCGCCCCCAGCAAAGACGCAAGGCTATCAGCGCTCACTTACCTGGAGTCTGCTTGGCAGTGCGCACGGGGGTGTAGTGGTTTTTGGAGGACGATCGGACCGGCGTGCTCTCTTTGGGAGATGTATTGATGGCCGACATAGTTTCTCTTTCACAGTGTGCTATGGGGATTGGTCCCTGTTGTCTTAAGATGTCGGCCAGCGCCCTAAACAGAGAGGAGATCACACAGTGAGATGCACAGGGCAGGTGGACAGGACCACAGAGAGAGCTGGCTTACTTCCCAGGGCCCTTTGATGGACAGACCTATGGAAGGAGACACACACACGACACTTTGTTCTCAGGAGCCACAGCTACGTCGGGGGCTGCTCCTGGGGCTGTGGGATTGGGGGGTGGAGGGTAGAGGATGCCATGCCTGGGGGTACAGGCATTAATAGGCAGTGATTACGGTTTCTGTATTCAATTTATATCACATGAGCCCTTTCAAAATGGCTACCCAAACACCACCCCCCCCATGCCAGGCAGATACGTGCACAGCTGGCCAGCATGACGTCCCCACAGGGAAGGGCTGCCATCGGTGGCCTCATCTCCAGCAGCAGTTATGAATAACATGGGCACGATCGCCCCTTTGAGAAACACACACCGTGTAGCATGTACTGTGTACTGGGGACCCAACACACAGATCTCGCATCAAAGAAAAGTGTGATCTGCGGGGTTCCTGGAGGCTCCGTCAGTGAAGGGGCTGCCTTCGGCTTGGGTCATGATCTCGGGGTTCTGGGTTCTAGCCCCCTGCTTCATCTCTCAGTGGGGAGCCTGCTTCTGCCCTCCCCCCACCACTCGTGCTTATTCTCTCTCTCTCTCAAATAAATACAAAATCTTTAAGAAGACAATGAATGAAAGGTGTGATGTAACCGCAAAGACAGGACGTACAGATAACAAGGTAAACACCCGACCACGTGGACGGTGCGGACAGTGATCTCAGCTGGAGCCGCAAAGAGGCAACGATTACAAACAGGAAGAGGAAAATACACCAACAAGGAGAGGAAGAAACAGGGATGCACAGAGCGGCTGCTGCAGCTGAAGCGGCCCAGCCCCTCCACAAGAGACCCAGCTACCCTGACTTCGAGCAACTCATAGTCACGCAACATGTCCCTTCAACCACCAAACGTGCATTCATGGCGGGCCCAGTGGGCACGTGTCACCTCAGAGCCAGAGGCAAACAGGACACAGTTCCCATCACCGAAGGGCTCACAGTTTCGGCGAAATCGCTCTGCCCCCTGGTTTCAGACGGGACTCGCTTGGCGGGGGTGCCGTGTGACCACCGTTCACGGAAAAAAACCGACACAGGCAGGGGTAGTCTGAGGCTGCAGAGGCGAGTGTGGACAAGCTATAGGAGACCCCCACCTCCCGGAGAAGGAAGGCCGTCTCAGGACCACGTCTCCAGTTCTGAGTGTACCCCTGTTCTGCACAAGCTAGGCAGGGACTCTTCTGGCTACTGGGGGGTCCCTGAAGTGCGGGCAAGCCGCCGCACCACCAGCCCCCCCACAACCAGCGCAGCCCACCCCCAGCTTCGTTCACACCGGGACTCCAACACCCGGCACCCGCGCCCTCGCAGTCTAAAAGCGTGTCTGAGAGTGAATTGTTGCCTTCCATTATGTTGCCTCTGACATGCTGAACCTTCCAAGGAGGAGAGCATCAACCTGGCAATCTTATCATTTGCTACCATTCATCCAGCAATTTCAGATGTTCCAAACGCTCTCCTCTGGCTGGTGTTCTCCTCCCTCCAGCTGAAAAGGGAGGAACAGATGCATGTCAGCACCCCGCTGTTCACGGGGAGGGGCCAAGTGGAGAGGGAGAACACAGGAGCTCACCAGGCTGGGGAAGGAGGTTCCGGCAGACCCGGGGTCCGGGTCAGAGACCCGACATTCAGGGTCTGAGAAGCCCGCACCGCCCTGAAAGGTCCAGAGATCTGGGTCCTAATCCCAAATGAGCTGTCCAACTTTGGGCAGCTCTGCTGACCTCAAAAACGGAAATTTAATCTTTTCTCCCCCATCAGCGAAACAAAGGGTTTAGACTACCATGACCCTTCTGGTGAGATCTCTTCGAATTCCAACGTGTTATAAATATTTTCTGTATTTCTGTCACCACACATCTATGCAAGGTATCCTGTGTTCCTGCATTCCTCCGGCTAACAAAGACACTTTGCTACCATGTTCCCATGGTAAGGAAACAGGGAGCTTGAAAGTTATAACAGAAATATAGGCCAATGGACTAGAACCGAGAGCCCAGAAATAAAACTTCTATGTCTATGGCCAATTGATTTTCAACAAGGTGCCAAGACCACTCAATGAGGGAAGAGCAGTTTCCTCTACAAATAGTGCTGGGACAAGTGGAAAGCCACATGCCACAGAATGAAGTTGGACCCTTCATTCACACCACATGTAAAATTCACTCAAAGTGGATCACAGAGCTAAATATTGGATCCAAAACTACAAACTCTTTGAAGAAAGTATAAAAGTACATCTTTGTGACCTGAGGTTTGGCAGTGGTTTCATATATGTGACACTAAAATCACAAGGAAGCAAAGAAAAAAGCAGAAATCCTGGACTCCGCCAAAATAAAAATCATGCCTGCATCCAAGGGTATGATCCAGAAAAGGCAACACGACCATCAAGGAAATGGGAGAGGGGCACCTGGGTGGCTCAGTGGGTTAAGCCTCTGCCTTCGGCTCAGGTCATGATCTCAGGGTCCCGGGATCGAGCCCCACATCGGGCTCTCTGCTCAGCGGGGAGCCTGCTTCCTTCTCCCTCTCTCTCTGCCTGCCTCTCTGCCTACTTGTGATCTCCGTCTGTCAAATAAATAAATAAAATCTTTAAAAAAAGAAAATGGGAGAAAATATTTATAAATCATATGTCTGAAAGGAGACTTATATCCAGAATATGTAAAGAACTCTTACAACTCAATAATAAAAAACAACACAAGATCCAGCTTAAATATGGAGGGAGGATAGAAAAGACATTTCTCCCAAGAAGGTGCATGTGAAAAGCAGCTCTGTGTCATTAGTCATCAGGGAAATGCAAATCAAAACCATGAGAAGACGGTCGTCCAAATCTACTTAAAGAGCTCTCACCAAGAAGTTGGACAATACCAAATGTTGGCAAGGCGGTGAACTGGGAGCCTTCACTCATGGCTGCTGGGGAAGGTAAGAGGGTGCAGGCCTTTTGGTAAAGGGTTGGGCAATCCCTCAAAAGGTTAAACATAGAGTCACCCTACAGACCAGCAATTCCACTCCTAGGTAGAGACCCAGCAGAAATGAAAACGCATGTCCACACAGCACCTGACTATGAAGGTTCCTAGCAGCATTACCAATAATCACTGGAAGATGGGAACAGCCCAGAAGTCCACTGACGGATGAAAGGAAAAACAAAATGTAGAATACTCAGACAATGGGTTATTTACTCTGCCTTTTTTTTTTTTTTTTTTTTTTTTAGATTTCATTTATTTATTTGAGAGAGAGCAAACATGAACAGGGGTCAGAGAGAGAGGGAGAAGCAGGCTGAGCAGGGAGCCCGAGGTGGGACTCAATCCCAGGACCCCGGGATCACGACCCCAGCCAAAGGCAGATGCTTAACCGACTGAGCCACCCAGTGGCTTAGTCCCTTATTCAGCCTGAAAAAGCAATGATGTCCCAGCAGATACCGTGAAACCATTGCGCTAAGTGAAAGGCGGCAGTCAGCGAAGACCATGAGTTATGGGATTCTGTTTACAGAACATGTCCAGGTTAGGCAGACCCACAGAGACGGAAAGCAGATTTGCAGTGACCAGGGACTGGGGGAGGGGGAAAGTGAAGAGTGATTGCTCATAGGTTCGGGGTTTCCTCTGGGGGAGATGAACATGTTCTCAAAGGCTAGCTAGACCACTCGGCGGGGAGGGGGACATCCAGAAAACACCAAACTGTGCACTCTAAAATGGAACGATGAATTCTATGGCAGGTGCATTACATTTCAAAAAAGCTGGTATTCCAAAAAAAAATAAAGTATATATTAATTTTCTGTTTCTTGCCTCTCAAGTTTTTATAAAGACTCCCACCCCTCTGGTGCCTGTGAAGGAGGACAGGGTCTTGTGGTGAAGTCCACGACGTTGGGGAGGCCAAGACTGAGCCTCCATCCGGGCTTCTCCATGGTGATTCTGTCCCTCCCCCGCCCCCCAGGAGGGGGCATTTGGCAACATCCAGAGACATTTTTGGCAGTCACGCCTGGGAAGGGCAGTGCTCTTGGCTTCCAGTGAGCAGAGGCCAAGGACGTTGCTAAACATCCCACGACACCCAGGCCAGCCCCTATAACAAAGAAGGACCACGGCCCTAAGTGTCAGCAGTGGCGAGGTTAAGAGGCCCTGAGCTACCTCCAGACAGCAACAGGGGAAGCCAGGCTTTGATTCAGGCTCAGGGCAATCCAGCTCCCCAGATACCTAGTGAGCAGCCCGCACCAGGATCAGACACAGGGCTGGCCCGGAGATACCGAAGGGGATGTCCCCGAGGAGGGGGCCTGTGTGTTGGGACCTGGGCTGCACGCTGCCCAGAGAAAGGCGTGGAGATTGGGCCTGTCCCCACCGCTTTCGGCTCCCATTCCAGTTTCCGAGGAGATTGGCCCTGGGGCTCATCAGGCAAGGAGAGGATGCAGCAGAGATGTGATTTTCGAGCGGAGCTCCCCTCTGGAAGGCCGGGGAGGCCCTTGACACCCGTCCCCTAAGAAGCCCTGCAGGACGCAGGCTCTGTGGACTCAGGGGTGGAGGGAAGACACTTTGCCGGAGACCATCAGGCTCAGTGCACAGCGCTGTGCTTGGGTCTGGCTTGTGGCCAGAGAAGGAGTTTAAACTGGGGTACAGCGAGGCCATCTCCTCGTGAAGACAGTGACTTGCCCTGTATCCTTTCCAGATGCCGGCTTGGCTGGGCTGAGCCGGGCGGCATGGCCAAGGGGGAGAGACGCACTAGAGGTGTTCCTAAAGAGGCAGGCTTGCCCTGTGTGGTCCCTAATGAGAAACACGCCAGCCAGGGCCATGCTCCTGGGCCCCCCACCTTCTGGCAAGGGGAGAGGTGGCCCTAATTCCTAGGCGGTGTCCTTAGGAGTGGTGCCCTCAGGCAGCTGCCCTCATAGCCCCTTGCCTCAGCCCCCCAGCCCGTGACCTCCCTTCCTTGCTCCCGTCCCTCTG